GAGAGAGAGAGAAACACTTGCAAAATTAGACAATACGCGCGAGGTTTTACTTTCACAGCAAACACGTAATGTCCATGGCATGCGACTAGGTCGCGATCACCCTTCTACCTCACTGCTCAGGTAATCATTTCAGCCACTATCAACAGTATATATACCTTCTGCTCCCAGTCCTTCCCTACCGCTATCCCAGTCCTCGCAGTCTACTCTCATCACTCTTCTGGATCTCATGCCCTTGGTCTTTGTTGCTGCCGATGTCCGCGTGTAGCTCCTCTGCGTACTGTCATCTTATCTCCTCAAAGTATCGTGTCCTCATATCTCGAAAGAGTCTAGTCCACATATGTCGAAAAAAGTCGCGCGTGTCTTTCTGTATTTCCAACCTTCTGTATGCCTCTCGATTCATACCTTTGTTGCTTAACTTTTCGTTTCTGCTGTTGTTTGTCTTTTGATTTCCTCGTTCTTCGTTCGATATCCCAGGTGAGTAATCTCATATTTCTTTTCATTTCCTTTTGATTCTTATTCTGGGCGGTTCATTCCCCTTGCGTTCTTGGTCTTCCGTTCGGTAATGAAATGAAATGAGATGATCGCTCTATTATCTATGTCATCATATCAGCAGAGAATTTTGTTCGAAGTCATACCGTGTTCGGAATGAAATGAAATGGACGCGACACTCTTGCGTCATTATATCTCAGGACTTCCCGTGTTTTTCTATCTTGTTTTTGTTTTTGTTTTTGTCTCGTTTTTCGGTTTTGCTTCGGTTATATTTCAGCGTTGTGTCGCGTTTTTATTTTCTTTTTAAATATCTTTCGTTTTCTGAATTTTCTTTCAACTCTCGGTCTGTTATCCAACACGTGGTGTTTCCTGTTCCTCCAGGTATCTTTGGAATTTGTCTCGCACTTCCTTATCCCCGCAGTTTCTCATGAATGCCAGCGCTGCGGAGCGGGTTATCCTCCAAGGGTATTCCATGAGTCGGAGTTCTCTTCCGTACATAGTAATCACCGGCGGTAGATCCGCTTTCTCACACGCACCGGTAACCATTCGATGAGAAGTACCAATAATTGTGAGGATCTTGGTTCTTTCCGAACCCGCGCTCCGGAAGTGACGCATCGTCCTAAGAGAGAGAGAGCTTAATAACCCCTCTTGGAGTGTTGCCTCGTTCTTCAATCGATGTGTGCACTTCAAGAGGGGTTCCGTGTTAGATTTTGTCACCCTTGTCTCCAGATATGTCCATTCCATGGTGTTGTTATCCGCTGTGATCTCAAGTTTCATCGACTCGTGGTAGCATGCCATGAAGGATTTCTGACATTCTTCTTCTTTTGTTTGATCCTCACCTCCCGCTATTATGATCATCATGACGTCATCCACAAATCGCATACCATGTATGAGTTTCCTATCAATTCCGATTTGGGAGCACCACCTGTCCTCATCAAATGCGCATACCATGTTTGCAATGGGCGGACTCGATCCCTTACCCATGGGAACCCCTTCTACTTGTCGTAATAGCGTTCCTTGCACTTTAAAGTACGCGTTTTTGATGTCGTAGAACAGGAGATCTATTAGACATTCAATCTTAATTGTTATCCATCCGTACGTTCCATTTGCCTTCCCGAAATTTATGTACTTCCCTCTCAGTTTGAAACACAGGTGGGTTTTTCGTTTCTTCCTTGTCATTTCCAGCATCCATCCCATCGCATGTATGATATGTGCATGATCTAGGTTTGAAAACATATCTTTAACATCGTATGTGGAGCATATCAGTCTCGCTTCGTCCCCATATGTTTCTTTTGCAATTCGATTACAATCTTTCAGTTTCGGGACTAATTGGTTCGTTCCTTTCAGTGAAAATCCCACTTTCAATGCTTCACACATAAAGTTAATTGCTCTTGCAAGTATTTTTTATGCTTTCTTCGATGGTTCATCATACGTAGGGACGATAGGGCGTCTTCTGGTAACATCCTTGTTTTTTGGAATTGTGTACGCATTTCCGCACGATCCTTTATCGTCCCATTCTAAGAGAGAGAGAGAGAGAGAGAGAGAGAGAGAGAGAGAGAGAGAGAG